TTAATAAGGAATTTGTTATATATTTTGAAAGTCTTTAAAAATTATTTAATACTTAAATTAAAACTTTAGAATTATTTAATTAACCTTGAAAAATTGTTCACTTTGACTAACTGGCCTTTTTGTAAGTACCAATGCCATTGGAACAAATTCAGCGATAGTTAATACTTTATCATGGTTTTTGTCATTTGCATTGAATAAATCTTTCAGATTCTTATCAGTATTTATCGTATTTGATTCTTGCCACTGTTCCAGTTCTTTCATTGTTATTCGTCCATCTTTGTTATAATCTATCTCGCCAAAACGTATTACTAAAAAGTAATTTACTTTTATACATTATTATACTTTAAAACTTCAATAAAACATATTTTTTGTTTTTAAAAAAATATAACTTTAGCTTTAAAAATACAATTTCAAATTATAGTTAATTTTCATTTTGATAGCAAATTAAATATTAATTTATCGTAGCTCATAAATTGAAATATTTAAGAAAACAAAAATTATTACTTATTGAAAAGTTTTAAAAACTTTTATTAAAAAAAGAAATTTTATTTAAAGTATTCTTAAAATTTATAAAATTTACAAAATTCAGCTTTGTCTATTATCCATAAGATGGATAAATGCTTAAACTATAATTTATTTGTATTCTAAAAATTATTAATTAAAAAAAACTTACTGTTACCAAAGTTTTTTGCTGCAATCCTTTGCAGAATAAATAGCAAAGCAAAATACCAAATCATTCCAAATTCTGGAGGAAAACTACAGTTATAATTATAAGCCATTTTTGAGTTTAATTTTTAGCAAAATGTCTTCGCAGTACAAAAAAACTTACAATTTTCAATAACAAATATTTATTCATCATTGAGTATTTACTAGTAATTTGATACTTTTCATTTATTAATGCACACAAAGTATTTTTCACTTACAATTTAAAAATACAAGTAAACAAAACTATTTTTTCTAGGAAAAATACTCACAACTATATAAATGCAATCTTAAGGCCTATATCAGAAGCTATGATATATAATCTCTGAATGACATAAAGAAGCTATGACATGTAACCTTTGAATCTGTTAATAAATGAATCTTTGCATTGGCCTTCTAACATTTAAGATTCATTTTTCGCTGATAGCATTATTCAAGAATTTGCAATAAAATTTTTCATAATATAAAGATTTATACATCAAGAAAAATTGTTATTCAAAACTATCTTTTCTTTTGGTTTCCTTTAATTTTGCAATTTCAATATCTGCTTTTGCCTAGCTTTAATATTATTTAGTACATCACTTTTCATTTAGAAAAAATAAAAGAAATGATTATAAACATTTGAAATAATAACAATAATAATAATAATAATAATAATAATAATAACGATAATAGTTTGATAATCCGGATTGGTAACAATTTTGGAAATAAAAGGGAATCTAGCATGTTATGTATAATAAAATTATTTATCCAAGAATTGGTCAAAAAAATAGTATCCGATCACTAAGTTATTATTTAGGAACTGCAATAGGCAAACTATTCAAACTCCCAGAACATAACTTATCATTCATTTTAATAAAAATTATTGGATATTTGTGCATCAATATACTACTTTGATAGAAATGTATACATCAACAAAAATTAATAAACCGTCAAATCGCATTAATTTTGATTTCATTCAAATATTTACTTTATACGAAATGACAAACTTACAGCACATTTCTACTTCATATTATAGTTTGTAATTTGGATGTGAGATAAACACTCAAAGTAATTCATCTACGCTATATCAGCTATAAATATTATTGGGTCAAACAATTTTGATCTGAAAAATAAAATGAATGAAAAATGAGAAAATTTAAAGTATGAAGCAAACAAGTTGGAATAACTCAAATGAGCTGAAAAATGTGTTAAAATATCCATTTCTCAGAATTATTAATGATTTTCAACATCGTAATCATAACTAGAAACGAATACAAAAAACAAGAGAAACCTGTTCTCAAGCGTGTTTACGTGTACGTAATGTAATCAAGATTTCGTGTATGTGCGTGCATGTGTAAAACGGAACTTCTTTTATCTGTATCTGTGCTTATTCGAACTTATGTTGATGGATTTAATAAAAACTAAAAAATGGACATTCTTTTTATTTTTTCATTTGCAAAGTGTTGCTCAAATAACATAGTAAAAAGTAAATTAACTTTTCATATTTAATTCGAAACTTTAATAGATTAAATCCCAAGTGAGTAACGGAAAAAACTTAACTTGTCAATTTTTTATTTTGATAATTTTTATTAAAAAATTATCAAATACGTCATTTAAACAATTATACAATTGAAAGAATTAAACAATTTAATAATTACATTAATTAGACAGTTTTTGAATTTTATAAACTAAAATTAAAATGTCCTAATCGAAAAAAAAACTTTTAAAGTCAAATTTGTGTCAGAGAAATTATACTTAAATGCAAAATGCATAAATTTAAGACAAGGAAATAATCTTATAAATTAACATTAATTAGTCAGAACTATATTACATAATTTAATTACGAATACAAAAAAGTCTTTGATAATTTCTAAGTTACCAAGTTGGATATGACAGCAATTATTCCTTTTACCACTTTTACTACTACACCACAGCAAACCATATACACAGGTACTACTATTATTAACCAATATTTAAAAGGATTAAAAACAGGTTTTCAATAAAACAACTGAAGTATTGATGAATTACAAACATCTTTGAATTTCCAAGACATATTTCACGAAAATCCATCTTACTTCCTTCTTATTGAAATTCTAAATCTTTGTTTAGTGACAAAAACACTTTATTCTAAAGTAAATATATTGAGAGAAAAAATAAGACAGACAAATATCACACATAATTTGCTACAAAAACTATTTTGAATACAAATATTTATTTGCAAGATTATCTTACAGCATTATTTATCCAAAATAAATTTATATTTCATTGAAATTTGCAAATTTACCATTTTTTATTTTTAAAGTTTTTCAAAAATTTCAGGTTTTTTAAAGAATATGTTGCTTTATTTTTGCCATAGCATAGCTTCTGACCATTTAAACTACCGACAGATAATTTAATTTGTACTACCTTATTTGGTAAATTAACGCAAACATTAAAATAGAATTGCTTTTATTCTTCAATAGATTATTAAAAATCCAAATTAATAAATTTTTTTGAAAGAATTTCGAATGAATTAAAATATATTTGTAAAATTTTGAGACTTACTCGATTTACACCACCTGATGAAAAATTAAACCTTTATGCAATTGCTCGCATGACAAATTAATCAAGAATGATAGTTCGAAAAATTAAACTTCCAAAAAAGGAAACGAACGAGTTTGTAGGTTTTTCAAACTTTTTATATGAATTAAATGATATCACAGAATTAATTTTTCTTTATTTCAACAACATAAAGCTGCTAAAAGTTTTGCATTGCAGGTTTCTTAAATCCTTATATGCTTATTAAGTATCAAGTATTGAGATATAATTCTTTGTGGTAAACTAACCAAAAATGCAACCAAGTCCTGCATCATGCCCCTATAAAATCATCTTTAATTTACAGTTTAAAACTTGAATTCAAAACAAATTTACACTCAAAACAAATGAAAAATCATTTATCCTTCCATAAAAGTAATGATAACTTGAAGTAAGTTTTCTTCACTTCAAGGAAATATACAAAGAAAATTTAATTTATTCTCAAATTCTTCCCATTTATTTTAATTACCAAATTAAAACTTTTTAAATAATTACTGGAAATTTGAATTTTTACTCGAGGAAGTTTGCATTTTCAGCTGTCCATTCAACCATCCATCCTTATTACAATTCAAAATTGTTTGGCAATGGAAATAAACAAAAGTATTAAGATATAATTGAAAATTTTGGAAGAAATGCATTAAAGTTAGCATAAATTATCTAATTTACAAGTTTTCACCAATAATAAATACATTACTGACTGAAATTATTAGTAAAAATTTTTATTTTATGATAATTTGTACTAATTTAAAATTTAAACTCTAAAATTATTTTCTCAAGTTTAAGAATTTAATTGATTTTGACATATATTTACTGCCTTACAATTTCAGGTTTTCTGAAAATTAAAAAAGTGAATAATTAGTTTCAAATGTAAACTACTGGGAAAGCAAATAAATATTCATTAACTTATCAAAGAATAATTTTCCATTCCAAGCAAGTTTTTACTTTCGATCTTAACTATTATTCAAACTTTTGTAATCAGTACAAATGCATTTAATTAATAGCTTCAATTTGAAATAATTTTTGTTTTTCAGATAAATTTAAGTTAATTTGTATAAAAAGTAATGCGAAAAAAATAAGTTAATTAATTATGTGAACAGAAATTTAGCACAAAATAAAATAAAGGAAGCTATATATAAATAAGTGGATAAGCAAATAAATAAATACATTAAGTAATGATTAAACAAATAAATATGCAATAAGTAAGCAAAAATATATATGGAAGTGAAAGAAATGAATAAGTGAACAAATATTAATTAAATAACAAGTAAATGTATTAATAAATAATTAAATAAATAAAAGGATTGATATATTATTCAAATTGCTTTTTTATTTTTGATCTTAACTATTATATAAACTATTTTGAATATTGAATAAATACAAAAAAAATTGGCAAATTTTTGCTAAGTCAACACTGTAATCGCTAAATTTCAAATTATTTTACTATAAAATAATTTGAATTGATTTATTTTTACATAATTTGAATGCATTTTGCATGCTTTCAAATTTAATTTTGTTTGTAATTTTATTAAAAATATTCAATTTACTTTGCTCTTTCATATGGCCGAGTTTGTGTGAGCAATTTCTTTTCTAAAATGTAAATTTCATATGAATTTACAAAGAAAATTTTATCAGAATTTTGAATCAAACAAAGAAATACTACTGGAAAATGAAAGTATACTAATCTTTGCTTTGTTTCATTTTTGCATTCTTTCAATTTATTCTGATTTTGGCGATTAAAGAAATTCAATCAAACAATAATAAAATCAAAAGATATTATTTGTGACCTAAATTTTTAGGCAATAATCATTTCATTCATTTTAAAATTTTTCAATTACTAATTTTTACGAACTTACGCAGAAATACAAGTAAAGTAGAAAATGAATTAGAGGTGGAGAAGACAAGAAAAAGTGTGATAAAATTCTTGAATAATTTTGATTATCTCATTTTAATTTATTCACTTTTTCATTCGTTTCATTTTGTATCTCAAATTTTTTCTACACTTT